GGGCACCTGGGTGGCTCAGTGGGTTAAGCCGCTGCCTTCGGCTCAGGTCATGATCTCAGGGTCCTGGGATCGAGTCCCGCATCGGGCTCTCTGCTCAGCAGGGAGCCTGCTTTTCTCTCTCTCTCTCTCTCTGCCTGCCTCTCTACTTGTGATCTCTGTCAAATAAATAAATAAAATCTTTAAAAAAAAAAGAATTCTTGACTATTCTACTGCTAAAGCAGAAAGAGTGTCTCATTTCCTTATTCCTATTAACTAGCCAAGGCTCAGAAAGAAAAGGGATTACCTTAGCTATGGAGTAAGATATGTTCCAACAGATCATAGTAGTAATTTTAGTTCATTCCTACTCTTGGAAGTCTGAATGTGTAGAAAAGGAGAATTATAAATTACAGAACTGCCCATTCTCCGCTCTACATGAAACAACAACAGTGAATCCACAAGCAGGAATTAAGAACACTGTAACAAACATATGTGCAGAATAGGGGGTCAACCTTTCAAGAAAATCCTGAATTACAGATGTCCATATTTGCAAAGAGAAAATCAGATTTTTGAAATGGGGGGGGGGGGCACCTGGGTGGCTCTGTTGATAAAGTATCTGACTCTTGATGTCAGGTCAGGTCATGACTCAGAGTTGTGAGATCGGGTCTGGAGTGCTCTTCCCTCTGAGGGTATAGTCTGCTTAAGATCCTTTTTTTTTTTTTTTTTTTTTTATTTTTTTTTTTTTTTTAAATTTCTTTTCAGTGTTGCAGAATTCATTGTTTATGCACCACACCCAGTGCTCTATGCAATATGTGCCCTCCTTAATACCCACCACTAGGCTCACCCAACCTCCCACCCCCGGCCCCTGAAAAACCCTCAGATTGTTTTTCAGAGTCCAGTCTCTCATGGTTCATCTCCCCCTCCAATTTCCCCCAACTCCCTTCTCCTCTCCAACTCCCCATGTCCTCTGTGTTATTTTCTGCTTAAGATTCTCCCTCTACCCTCCCCCTTCCTGGGACACACAGGTGCATGTGCTCTCTTTCTCTCAAAAAAATAAATAAATAAATATATAAAGAGAACAAATAAAGAAGAAATAATTTTGGGGGGTGGGGCTGAGAATTAACCAAAAGCAAAGTATGTGGGTCCTTCAGTGACACACTTAACAAGGCCTTACCTTTCCTTAAGTTAATTTTCCAGGGGGCTCTAGGGAGACTCATTAGATAGGGTACATTTGGAAAAACCTGCAATGAGCCAATTATTACCAAACCAGGAAAGCATTCATTCATACAACTAACATTCACTCAGCAATCACTTTGTGTCCAGTACCAATGGACGCCCCAGGGATACAGCAATAAACAGGTCATCAAACTGCCACCAAAAAAGGCCACCTCTCACTGCTGTTTCTACTCTCCAGACAGGTTTTTAAGCCCTTTCTTTTTTTTTTTTTTAAAAGAGGGTACCAACATTAAGGAAGAAAATGGTAACATTTTCTTTATATCCATAGGATTTTTGTTTTTGTTGGGAGACAGAAAGAAGTTGGGCTATGTTCCTTTGTCTGGCAAGAGAAGAAAAGAAATTCCTCATCCCACTCCCCCTTTTTCTCCATCCTGCATTTACCAAAAACATCTTGCTATCTCTGGATATTTTCAGGAGTCCTACAAACTGAATTTTCCTGGCTTTTTCACCAAGTGGTTCAGCACCAAAAAAAAAAAAAAAAAAAAAAAAATTACTATTATCAATAATAGATCCTTATGGCAACATCTCTTTCCACCTTTCTAGAGAAAGGATAAATTTCACTTTTATGCTTTGTTAGAAATGCCTATCTTATTCTTAAAATCACCAGCATAATAAAATGAAAAAGGCAGGGCTGGCTGGCTCTTGATCTCAGGGTCATGACTTCAAGTCCCACTGTCCCACTATAAAATATAATACATAGAAATGTAAAATAATAATAATATAAAGAAAATAAATAAAATGAAAAAGGCTTATCTATTATCCAACCTAAAGTAAAAGAAATGTTCTATGCTTATAATGCCTTGCTTTATATTTGTAAGTTTTACTTCTTTAACTCACAAATCTCATCCGGAATTTAACACACTCATTCAGTCAATTTAACCAAAATGCTCACAAAAATTCAGTTTCAGGGGCACCTGGGTGGCTCAGTGGGTTAAGCCACTGCCTTTGGCTCAGGTCATGATCTCAGGGTCCTGGGATCCAGCCCTACATAGGGCTCTGCACAGCAGGGAGCCTGCTTCCCCCCGCCCCGCACCCCTCCACCTGACCACCTGTGATCTGTCACATAAATAAGTAAAATCTTAAAAAAAAAAAGAAAAAAAAAAAATTCAGTTCCAAACGCTGTGGCCACCTGGCAAATACAGCCCGTAACTCAGCACCTTGCATGTATTATGTTAGGAGGGGGAATACACAGGCAATAACGCTTCAGAATATAGAGAACAAGTCCTTCAAGTGAAGAACTAGGTCTTACTGTCCTGACTTTCACTACAATACTCCAAAATACATATTAATGTTAAGCTAATTCTAAAAGTGAAATAAGTTACATTATATAATATATATGCTAGATTAATGAACAGAAACACTGTATAATTCAACCCCGGGGTGGGGGGAGGTTTTATTTATTTTTTTAAAGATTTATTTATTTATTTATTTGACACAGAGAAAGATCACAAGTAGGCAGAGACACAGGCTGAGAGAGAGGGGAACGGAAGCAGGCTCCCCGCTGAGCAGAGAGCCGGATGAGGGGCTGGATCCTAGGACCCTGGGATCACAACCTGAGCCGAAGGCAGAGGTTTTATTTTTTTAAAGCACTAACACTTTCTCCTGAAATTCTAACCTGGATATTCTGGCCCTCGAGAAGGACTGACACACACCTGGACAATCTGAGAACCAGCAAGTTTTCTGGAGAAGAGCCACCTCTGGAATCAATTTCAAATGAGTGCAACCACCTCTTGTCATGTTCTAGTCAAATGGTGACAGCAACAGAAGTGGCAGGAGAAAATACAAAGTAGAGAAAGACAGGAGAGGCCAAAAGAAGAACCAAGTGAGAGAAGCACAAAGAAACGCAACTCTTCCCTAACCGACAGAGAGGAAGAGTATTTCTGCCTTCCAAACCTTAGAGCAAACTCATGCCATTAAAATACACTCTACTGGGTGCCTGGGTGGCTCAGTGGGTTAAGCCTCTGCCTTCAGCTCAGGTCATGATCCCAGGGTCCTGGGATCAAGCCCTGCATTGGGCTCTCCGCTCAGCAGGGAGCCTGCTCCCCCCGCCACTTGTGAGCTCTGTCAAATAAATTAAAAACTTTAAAAAATAAAAAAATAAAATACACTCTACCGAAAATAGAGTATCAGCTGCTACGAACTGAATGTTTGTGGGCCCCCCCCACTCCAAAACTTGTTATGAGGAAGCCCTCAATGCCAAAGGATTTGGAGGTGGGTCCTGTGGTAGGTAAGGAATGAGGCCATGAGGGCAGCCCCCACGATGGGATCAGTGTCCTTATAAGTGGAAGAAATCTAGCCCTTTCTTCATGGGAGGTCACTGCAAGGAGTCAGCGGTCTCCAAGCCAAGGGGTCCTTGCCAAAACCGAAGCCACCAGCCAGGCACCGAGATCCACGTCCAGCCTCCAGAACTAAGAGAAATATTTGTGTTTAAGTCACCTGTCTATGGTATTTGTTACAGCAGCCTAAGCTAAGCCATCGCTCAAAGTGACTAGTAAATAGTGCAGCCCTAAGCCTTAGAAACAATAAAGAGGGCAGACTGCCGCCCCGAACTTTACTCAGAATTACCTGCGACTGAGTAAGGGCACTTGACTTTTCACTCTCGCCCTTCACTGTCCCCTGTCCCCCCTCTTCCGGTTTGGGAGTTAGGAGGTTGAAAAGATTAGAACTTCCGAATCATAAAAAGAAATTTGACCTCAGAAAGTGGTTAAATAAACTTAAAAGGTCTGGCGAGGAAATCCTGACACATTATTCAGTCCTCACCCCTCCCATAACTCATCATCCGGCCCTGAACGATTTTCCTTGCCTCCAGCCTCCAGGACGAAGTCTAATAGCAATGGTTTGGTGAGCGCCTGTTGTTGAAGAGCAACAAATTTGTTCCGTTACAGCCTCGCACTAATCCGATGCGAGCACCGCCGGGCTGGCAGGGCTTCCTGGTGCGGCTCCCAGGGCCAAGAGGCCGCGGGTTCACGCGCGGGACTGGAAGTCCACCCCAAGTGGCCCGTTTCGGGAAAGCCTTCCAAGAAAACACGGTCGGTCCGGGTCGGCCAAACCGGCCCAAGTTCCCTTCTCATCTTTTCCCAAGTCCTAACTTCCCACGGCATGCTTCCTCCAAAAAAGGAAGAAACCGGTCTAAGGCTCAGCTCTCGCCGGCTAGTATTTACCTAGCACCGGAACTTGTTTGCAAAACACTGAAGGCACTCATAAACTTGACTTCGCAGGAAACGCACCACCTTGACTCCCGCAACCGAGATCTGGGAGTGCCTGCTGTCGCCCCCGCCCCCACCACCAACGTGCTGAACCCGGAAGGTAGCGGAGTCCAGGTCACCAAAACCACCCCGTAGTCCCCAAGCCATTCGGGAGTTCCCTGCCCGTGGACCGACTCCCAGTGGAGGCCGGGACCAAGACCCCGACCACGGACAGCCGCGGAGCAGAGGAAACGCCGGGAGTGGCCGGGGACGCCTCCACGCTCTCAGAACTGCTCGCCCGCAGCCCGCAGCCCGAAGCAGGGAGGCAGAGGCCATCCGGCGCCGAAGGCAGGAGCAGGCCCTCGGCCTCCCGCCCTTCCATCTCCTTCCCTCGCCCTAGCCGCCCCCTGCGCACGCCCGTACGCCCACGTGCACGACCTCCAGGCACGACCCCAGGATCCCAAAAGCCAGAATCCCCTTCTCAGGCGCCCCCCTCCTCCTTCCCCTTGGGCATGCCCGGCGCGCCCCACAGATACACGTGGATTCGGGGATCCCGGGGGCTATAGACCGCCGCTGCGGCGCCCTGCCGCGCCTGCCACTCACTTGCTGGCCAGCGCGGGGCTTGCCCTGGGGCGCTCTCCTGAAAAAGGAGGTCCTGGCGGTGAAGAAGAAGTCCTCGGCGTCCTCCTCCAGGCTGCTGTAGCCGCTGCTCATGCTGCTGGTCCCGTCGCGCGTGGGCCGCCTCCCCCCCCCCACGCGCAGGCGGCCAGGCAGGGGGTGCCGCGCCCGCCCGCCCCGCGAGGTTCCCGGCGCGCGACCCCGAGCCGCCGGCGGGCCGTCCTGCTACAGCTGCGGCCGCCGCTCACTCTGGCCCTCCCGGCCCCTCCCGCCGGCTCCCCACCGGCCTCCAGGCGCGGCTTTACCCTCCAAGTGCCTCGCGACCCCGCCTCCCGGGGCCCCGCCCTGCCCCGTGTGCCCCTCCCCAGGAGGCTCGGGGCTGGGCCCACGCGGTGCGGGCACTCCCCGCGCGGCCGCAGGTGGGGGTGGTGTGGCCGGCCCTCCCCGGCGCCTGTTCGTTCCTAGCAGAGTCTGCTGCCCAGAACGCCCACTTCCACGACTGCGTCGGGCCGGGCTGTTCCCCGGGGCGCTCCCCCAGCCTCCCGGAAACTGCCTGGTCCTCTGTGATCCGGCTACCCGCCCCCCGCTCCGCTGCTCGGGGTTTGGGGAGGACCAGAGCAGAACAGGGAACTTTCGCCGCTGCCCCCTCCTTGCTTGCCCCTCCCGGGAGTCCAGCGGGCAGCAGTGGAGATCGCCCCGCCGAGGAGCCCCCAGCCCGTCGGGCCTCTGGCGGCCGTTTCCCTTCGTCCCGAACCCCAGCATCTCGCCCCTCCAGAAGGGCTAAAACTTAGGGGAGAGGAGTGGGGAGGTAACAACTGGGTAGAGTTTATTCAAATGAAAACATCCTTTCTGGTAATTCAGTTGAGCTGCCCTCTCCGCTTCTCTCTAGCGGAGGTTCTTTCTCAGATAAGGACGGCCAAGGTCGTTATGATCTTAGAGGCCCCTTGGTGAAGGGGGTGAGGGGTGAAATCGTTCTACGGTTCAAGAACTTATTAAATGTGCGTTTTCCATGTCCCCTCCCACAAGTCCTACAAGGCATGGTTTCTGTGTCGGGGTGATGGGTTCAGAGAATTCTATTCACCCTCCTACCAAAAAAAAAAAAAAAAAAAAAAAAAAAAAAATCTATATTTTCTGAAATCCTTCCGGTTAATCCTTTTTTAGAATGCAATTTTTTTTTGCAAGTCGCCTGTGGGTACCAGTCATTTACACCTTGGTGTTACTGAACTGATTTAAATCATACTAGTTTCCTTGCAGAGATCCTGACCGAAAGGAGGTTGTTTGGAAGGTTCACGGTCACTGCTGAGGTGAGCAGGCTTTAGAAGAGGTTTCATTTAAAAAAGGAAGACAAGGGTTAGAAAAGATAATTTTACCCAAGAAAATTTTTCACCCATTATCGCTAAACTTTCTATGCAAGAAAGAGAGATAATGCATATTTCCTTTAAACCTCAAAACGACTCTAAAGTGGTTAGTACTGATGTATGCTGATTTTACACCCAGAACAGTTGAAGTTTAAAGAGAAAAGTAGCTGTAGGTGGTAGGGCTGGGCCGTTCTGATTTGCTTTCTGTTTATCTGAAGGTCTGCAGAGAGCCTTCGAGGTCTCTGACTGGTTGGTCCTCAGTCAGCTGTGCCTGTTTGTGCGCTAGTGGAGGGGAGAGCTGGCTTTTGAGCCAACCCACCCCCAGGCTGAAGGAAGGCTTGCAAACCTGCTCCACCTTCAGGCTTAACCCCACCAGCTTGCAAGCTGTGTATTACCCTGAGTGATTCACCCCTGCAAGAGGCAGGCCTCAGAGTTAAGCCCATTTTACAGATGCTGCAATATTAAAGCCTTCTTCCCAGCCACACAGCTACTGAATAATTAGAAACCAGGAATTCTAATTCCATAGTGTTTTACCCGGTCTAAACTGATCACTGCTGCGGGGCACATAACCCAACTTAAGAGAATAAGACAATTTACTTACTTTATGATAGACTTGTCATTTGGTTTCTGTTGTTACATTAACCTAATCTTTATTAAATACCTCCATTTTAAGGATAATGTATAGAAAAAAAGGGTAATATATAGGTTAAAGAATTTAAGTAATTTGTTTTATTGTGGATGGGAAAAGGGAAGTAACCCAACCTGAGCTCAAGTTTCTTAATACCTGCAAGAAAAATATTAAAATGAAAAATACCTTAAAGTTTTTTATGGGGCGCCTGGATGGCTCAGTTGGTTAAGAGTTGGTGGTCACCTCAGGTCACGATCCCAGGGTCCTGGGATAAGCCCTAAACCAGGCTCCCTGCTTAGCAGGAAGTCGGCTTCTCCCTCTACTCCTCCCCCTGCTTGTGCTCTCTCTTGGTCTCAAATAAATGAAAATAAATAAAAACTTTTAAAAAATCTTTATAGGGGCGCCTGGGTGGCTCAGTTGTTAGGCATCTGCCTTCAGCTCAGGTCATGATCCAGGAGTCCTGGGATTGGGCCCGCATTGGGCTTCCGGCCCGGCGGGAAGCCTGCTTCTCTCCCTCTCCCACTCTACCTGCTTGTGTACCCTCTCTCACTGTCTCTGTCAAATAAATAAATAAAATCTTTTTTAAAAAAATCTTTATAAATAAATAGTGTTTTTTTATGATCCAATATTTTTTATGATCCACCATACCATAAAAAGGATTTTATTCATATTATTTTTAAGCTCCAAAGGACTGGATGTTTATATCTGTAAGCACACCATCAGAATCAGTTTTAATAAAAAGGCATAACTGAAATAAAATAAAATAAAAATAAAAAGGCATAAGTGAATAATGAAGTAGAAGTGCTTTTTTTTTTTTTTTTTTAAAGATTTTATTTATTTATTTGACAGAGAGATCACAAGCAGGCAGAGAGGCAGGCAGAGAGAGAGGAGGAAGCAGGCTCCCCGAGAGAGCAGAGAGCCCGATGCAGGGCTTGATCCCAGGACTCTGAGATCATGACCTGAGCCGAAGGCAGTGGCTTAATCCACTGAGCCACCCAGGCACCCCAGTAGAAGTGCTTTTAAGCAACAAAAAGTAAAGAAGGAAGGAAGAAGAATTGGTATTTTGTTTTTTAAAAGCAGCATAATAATCCTATTTCTAAATTTTTCTGATAGTATTCTTTTTTTTTAGCTTTTATACTTCCTTTTTTTTTTTTTTTCTTCTTCCCAAAGATTTTATTTACCTCTTTGACAGAGAGAGACACAGTGAGAGAGGGAACACAAGCAGGGGGAGTGAATGACAGAGAAGCAGGCTACCTGCTGAGCTGGGCACCCATTGCGGGATTTGATCCCAGGGCCCTGGGATCATGACCTGAGCTGAAGGTGGACGCTTAACAACTGAGCCACCCAGGCACCCCTAACTAAATATAGTTAAAGGTAAAATTTTTCTTTTGTAAACTTGTCCTAATAAAGCACAAAATCACAAAGGAAAAGATTTGTAAATTTGCATAAATTTTAAATATTTTTAACACACATAATGGTAAAAACAGGGGAAAAAAATAAGGGAAATATTTGCCATACAACTGCTATCTTTACAACATAAAAGATTCATACAAATCAATAAAAACTTTGAACAATAGAAAAATAAGCAAAGGACATGACAATCAGTTTATAAAAGGAAAAATACAAATAACTTATCAGTCTTTTGTACATTAAAATTTTCACTCAGTAGGGGCTCCTGGGTTGCTCAGTCTGTTAAGTGTCTACCTTTGGCTCAGATCATGATGCCAGGGCCTTGGGGTCTTGAGATCAAGCCCCCTCATCGGCCTTCCTGCTCAGTGGGAAATCTGTTTGTTGCTCTCCCTCTGGCACTTCCTCCCCACCCCGTCCCCCTTCCCCCCTCTCTTGTGCTCTCACACCAGTCTCTTGATTTTATTTATTTATTTGAGAGCGAGCGATCATGAGAAGGGAAGAAGGGCAGAGGGAGAAACACTCCCTACTGAGCAGGGAGCTGGATGCAGGACTCTATGTTATGACCCTAGGACCATAACCTGAGCCAAAGGCAGATGCTTAACCAACTGAGCCACCCAAGTACCTATATAAATAAATAAAATCTTAAAATAAAAATAATAAATTGTTCACCTAGCAACAGATATTTAAAGAGCACATACTATCTGGCCAAACACTGACTTCAACACAAAGGCTACATCACTGGACAAAACAGACAAAAATGTTTGTCCTAGTAGAGCATATGTTTTAGTGTAGGTTAGAGGGAGAAAGGCAAAACAAAGAGGACAGTTTTACAGTGTATTTGAAGGTAATGAGTACTCTCACATAAATCATGAACAAAGATGAAGGTTTTTTGTTTTGGCATTTTATTTATTTGAGAGAGAGAGAGAGTGAGAGAGAAAGAGTGCAAGAAGGGGAGGGTCAGAGGGAGAAGCAGACTCCCTGCTGAGCAGAGAGCCTGATGCAGGACTCCATCCCAGGACCCTGAGATCATGACCTGAGTGGAAGGCAGTCACTTAACCAACTGAGCCACCCAGGCGCCCAAAAGATAAAGAATGTTTTATATAGATTTGCTATTTAAGCTCTCACTGAGAAAGTCACTTTCAGCAAAGACATATAAAAAATAAGGGAACTGGCCGTGTAGATATCCTTGGGGAAAGGCAAAGAGAACAAAGAGAACAGCAAGTGCAAAGTTCCTGAGGTGGGAATGCGCTGGCATATTTGAATAAGAGCAAAGAAGCCAGTGTGTCTCAGCAGGCAACTGGAAGAGAAAGTTGTAGGAATTTCAGTACAAAGGGTAACAGGGAGAAAGCTTAGAGTTCCTATAATGCCATAAGAGTACTTATAGGGGCTTTGATTTTATTTTTTTTACTCTGAGATGAATGATGACTGGAGATTTTAAGCAAATGAATGGCATGATTTGACTTACTTTTTTTTTTTTTTAAGATTTTATTTATTTATTTGACAGAGACCACAAGTAGGCAGAGAGGCAGAGATGGGGGGGAAGCAGGCTCCCTGCTGAGCAGAGAGCCTGATGTGGGGCTCGATCCCAGGACCCTGAGATCATGACCTGAGCGGAAGGGAAGGCAGAGGCTTAACCCACTGAGCCACCCAGGCGCCCCTTGACTTTTTTTAAAGGACTCCCTTGGTTGCTGGGTAGAGAATAGAGTGTTAAGACTTATGAAAACTCAAGCAAATGAAAACAAGGTACAT